CGAAGTAAATTTTCATGACTCATATTATTCATAAGTTGTTAACCTGAGTAACAATATGTTCGTCATTGTTTTTAGATAGTAGCTGTTTAATATTACATTTTAACAATACTCAAGTTCAAAAAGGGTGGCTCAATTAGAGAGCGGATCCATGGCTAAAGGGGGCCCTTAGTCACTTCATTAAACCCCTCTTAAGTCTTAACCCTTATATTTGGACGCCAAAATCTGACGGTTAAAAAATGGAAAAATATTTTTAATGAGTGACATGAGTAATTTGGGTATTATGAAAAATTACGAAGTATACAAACCAGACTTACAAACAGTTCAAATCATAAAAACATACAAACAACACAAACTAGAGCGACAAAATATACAAACTTGTGGATCGCGGTTGGTTACGGTTTCCTGCCCTTTTCTTTTTCTTCGTTGGGAGAGTTGGATACAGATGTCGTGGCTTTGCTCAAGCAGATCCATAAGTTCTTCGTGTCTCAGAATACGGAGGCTCGGGCGGCTGTGTACATTTTTACTAGACTTGATTTTGCTATAGCTAAGGGAGTGAGGGCTCGGATTGTACCTTGGCTTCCCACTAATTTTTTGTAGAGCTTTCGTTGTACTGCTTCCACATATAATATATAATTCATTTTAATAGAGAAATTTATATAATAGGAAAAATGAATACAAAACATACGAACTATACAAATAATACAAACTAGACTGACAAACAATATAAACCAGATAAATCTATTAATCTATTGGTCCAGATAAATCTATTAATTATTATTAAATGAGAAGGGTAGTTTTGGCATTATTAATAAATTATTAACTTCTATTTTTTGATTTTATTTTATTTATTATTATTGAATTCTTTTTTTCCATCTGCAACACGTCTCTTCCCTTTCCCTTTTTTGCAATGTCTAGAGAGAGAGAGAGAAAGCCTGGTGGAGGAGGAGAGAGAGAAAGAGAAAGGCGGCGACGCTACACTGGAGGAGATCTCGACGGCAACGCCGGCGATGGAGATCTCGACGGCAACGAAGACAATGGAGGAGATCGGCGCCGACGACGGTGGAGAGAGGGAAAGGAGATTGCGATTTTTCCTCCATCCATCCTCTTCTGCGTTGCCATTGCAGGCCATAGGAGAGAGAGAGAGAGAAGCAGCAACGGGGAGAGAAGGACGGCGACGGTGGAAGAGAGGGGGGCGACGGCGAGGAGATCTCAACGGCGCCGGCGACGATGGAGAGAGGGCAAGACGACTACGACGGAGGCTGTGGTAGAGAGAGAAATTAGATCTGGCCGTTGTCGAGAAAACAGAGGAGAGAGAGAGAGACGATGGTGGAGGAGAGAGAGAGGGGCAATGGCAGAGAGAGCGTTGGCGATGGTGGAGGAAAGAGAAACGGCGCGATGATGGAGAGAGAGAGGTCGCGGCGGCTGTAGAGAGAGTCGGCGGCGGCAGCGGTGGAATACAATTTGTCGTCTGAAGGAAGAACAATGGTTTGTAATGAAAGTGTTGTTAGTTTGTATCATTAGTATTTTTGTACATAATGTCAGTATGATTTGTATAGTTTGTATGTTTTGTAATATTCATTTGTATACTTTATATGTATTGATTTGTGATGCAAATCACGTCTGTTTGTATTGTAAGTACTAATAATTTGTATACTTTATATGTATTGATTTGTGATGCAAAAAACATTACAAACATTGTTGACAAAAATGACAAACATGGTGGACAAACATAACAAAGATTACAAACAATACAAAAAAAACCAACAAACATTACAAAATAACAAACATTACAAAAGAAACCGACAAACAGTACAAAGCATACTACACGTATAGAATATCACTACTTACAATACATATTGGTAAACTTGTATTACAAACAAATGAATACAAAGTATACAAATCATAACATAAAAGTATACAAACTAGAGCAACAAAAATTACAAATTACAATATATACAAAATAGTCATACAAAGATTACAAACAATACAAAAGAAACCAACAAACATTACAAAATAACAAACATTACAAAAGAAACCGACAAACAGTACAAAGCATACTACACGTACAGAATATCACTACTTACAATACAGATTGGTAAACTTGTATTACAAACAAATGAATACAAAGTATACAAATCATAACATAAAAGTATACAAACTAGAGCAACAAAAATTACTAATTACAATATATACAAAATAGTCATACAAAGATTACAAACAATACAAAAGAAACCAACAAACATTACAAAATAACAAAAGCGTACAAACATTACAAAATATGTCAACAAACATCACAAAATTAGCACTGTCGCCGGGAAATTTGGAAAAAAAATTCCGACCAGAAACTCTCTCTCTCTCTCTCTCTCTCTCTCTCTCTCTCTCTCTCTCTCTCTCTCTCTCTCTCTCTCTCTCTCTCTCTCTCTCTCTCTCTCTCTCTCTCTCTCTCTCTCTCTCTCCCCCCGTCCGTGTGGGAAGCCACAAACAAATGGGGAGATATAAATCCCATATCCCTCCCGCAGGAACAAAATTCCTGGTCGGCGGCGCATCCCAATCCCTGGCCGCCGGTGCTGACTGGGACGCCAGGAACCCAGGTGGAACGAAAATCACAGGCCGCCGATGATGCCAGACGGCGGAAACCCAGCCAGGACAAACACGCGAGCATTTTAGGTTTTTTTAATTAATAATTGAAAATTAATAAATCATGCAATTACTACAATACCCTTCATTAAATTGAATTCATCTGAGCCCTTGGATTTTAATGAGGTTGAGTGGCTGAGATTCACTTAGTCATGTGACTAAGGGGACCCCCTTAGTCACCTGATCTTAGCTCATTCACATAGCCATGTTACTAAGGGACTTAAGGGTCGTTTGGTTTCGGTGATAGTCAAATTGATGCATTGTTATCAATTTTCAATGATATTTTTGTATAAAAAATAAATTTTAGGTATCCAAATGTAAAATATAAAAAAGTATGACACTAAATCGTAATTTGTCATTTAGATCCATGGATCAATCCATGAATTTACCAATCCAATTGGATTTGGATCAAATGGATTGAATTTATATGGATTGGGTTAGTTGGATATTTAAGTGGATGAATTGGATTGAGAATTGTCACCTCTATGCCAAAAGTGAGTCAGGTTAAATAGGAGATTATGTAATTGTAAATAAGGTTGGTGCGTAACCTATATTGCTTAATTTAAATAACCAAATCTGGACCCTTCCTTTTAAGTAGGCGGCAGATATAAAGGTTGGGAATTAAATGCATTTTCTACATAGTTTTCTTAATCGGCTATTATCTTCTTTTTTGTAATTTGGATTTTAATTTTTTTTGGCACCGATTGAACGAGTTTGTTGTGATCTACAAAATAAGATCCATTTTCAATATTTTTTGAGAAAAAAAACTCATACCTCTCTTTACCAACTCCATACCATATGGTACCACCTTCGTTTTTAAGTTGTTTTTGAAATTTTTTGCATAGAAGGAAATAGTTTATCATGATCTATTGGATCTACAAATTTCGGGGAGAAAAAATACAGACCAAAAAATACACCCCATGCCACCATGGTATAGGGTGGTAATTGGTGGTAAACAATGTTAAATATAGCAAATGACAGTTAGTATATTCCTAATACCATGTATTCTACCATCCTACAGTCTGGTATGTTTATACCACCATGGTACACTTGGTATGCTCTTATATAATACCAATCAATACCATATGGTATATACTAGTAATAAATGTCACAATTATTTGTTTTTTACAAAAATATATTAAAGTGAATATCATTGTGATTAGTCCTAGCAGAGAGTATCATAATTTAAAGGTTCTTCTTTGTTCTTAGAATTATGAGAATAAATTGATCAGCAGACATTACATATGATGTTTAACGAATTCCATAAAATTTCTTGGAGAATATTTGTATTTCCTATTAAAATTGTGCGAGTTGTCTTTCTTGTTAAATTATTCTTTTTCTTAATTAATCATCCTTAAATATAATCAGTGACTTTGAACAATTTAAAATTTGGATTTGTTCACGAATCTTATCTCGCTTGAGCAAATTTAATTTGGAAATCAATAGTATATCTAGTCCTCTTTATCACTATATCACTTGATATGAGTTGTGGATCAATACCACGGAAAGAGTAGAAAGAATACCAAAACAAGTAGCGCATACCACATAAACTAAATTATCGTTGTAGTTAAATATGAATCTACTCAACCTTAGCATTCTCTCTTAAATGGACTTTTTGGCATGGGTTGTTCAACAAAGCTTAAACTTGAAAAATAACATTAAAAACTCATTTCTAAATATAAATATTAAGAAAAGTAAGAATAAACAGTTTTTGTAATTGAAAGGGTACTCTAGTAAAATCAATAATAATGGCAATCTCGTAATGAAGTAAAGAGAACAAGACTTATTTTATAATACAATCTATATATATGGAAGACTCGTTCCCTTCTCCATTGTCCATTCTCTTTTGCTTCTTTCTCCCTCCTTTCTCTTTCTCTGAACCTCATTTTCCATTTCTCTCTCTTTTTTTTCTTTCTTTCCAATTTTCTGTTCTTCCCTTGAGCTCTAATTCTGTGTTAATGGCTTCTCTTCCACCATACAAACATTTGTCAATAAGTCTAAAGTTCTTTAGATTCCGATAATCAGATCTCTCCTATATAATTTCTTTTCTGTCCTTTTTCTCCTTTTCCACTTTTTTTTTCTCCTTCTCCATTGATAGTTAAATCTTATCTTGTATACTCTGATTAATTAATTTTTTAACCCTCACTCTACTATTTTACTGTCAAAATCTTTCTGGTTTACCGCTGTTTCTTTTTACCAAATTGAAAAGGGGCAAAGTTTGGAAATTCAATTTGTTTTTTCTTTCCCTTTTTCCCCATTTACATTTCTTCCACACAAAAAAAATTCTCCGTTGGGGTAAATTCAGTTGTAATCGTGTGGCTGATGTGTCACACATGGAAGCAACAAAGAAAAATACCAAAACGATGCGTCTCCCTCCTCGACGCATCTTGGCTTCAAATAAGCGGAAGGATAAAGAAGACACAACCCGTGATTCTTCCAAATCGTTGGTAGCAACAATGGAGCCAGTGGTCAAACCGGCTACTGCGGTTATTGGTTACGATAAATTTACCGAGCCGGTTGGGTCTAATAATCAACTCCTAGCTGGCTACTTGGCCCACGAGTTCCTCTCAAAGGGAACCCTTTTTGGTGAACCCATGAGGGCAGATAATTGTCCCTCGCCCATCTATGTCAAGGCAAAGAAGATTAAACCTAGCATGGAAATGGAAAGGGAAACCAAAGCAATGGTGAAATCAGAGCAGAATATTGAAGATATTGGGAAGAGGAGTGAGAGATATTTAGAGGTTTCAAAATTGCTGAAAATGGAAGGAGCCCACTTGCCTGGTATCATTAACCCTACCCAGCTTGCTCAGTTCTTACAAATGTGAAAGTCATAAACGAGAGTGGTAGATCATGTAAAAAAAAAAACGACATCCTCTCATTTTGGGCTACGTAGATGACTAATCATGTAAAAATTTAGTTTTTTTTAGATTTTATTTTATTTTTAGCTGTGTATAAGGGGGAAAAAAACTTCTCATGAAATCTTAGATAAAGAATTGTCAGATTTCCCATCGAATTCTTATATTTGATCATGAATTCCTTAAAAGAAATTGGAAACATACAAACATATAACTTATTTCATTCGTGGTTTTCTTGGTCAACATAAAATTTCTGACGAACTAGGTTTTTCTAATAAATTCGTTTTAGCCCCGGCACAAAAAGTGAGTTTGAAGGGAACTTGATCGATTGGACCAAAAAATTTATAGCATCGATGCCTTGGATTTTTTTCTTGTTTGATTAAGGAGTGACAATACAATTTCAGAAGGAAATGTTTTAGCAACAACTCTATTTTGAGGTAGTAATGCCAACAGGCCACATGGCACAATGCTACTGATAAGTCCTCTTTTTATTTTCCATCTTTTAATGATCCAAACTAAAGACTACAATAACCAAAACAAGAATCATAAAGAAATTTTCAGCAAACTAGAATTCAAAGGTAGATAAATCACTCGCTAACTACTTTGTCCAACAATCAAATACTTGAAATAGTTCACATTTCACTAACCAAGCAACTCCACTACCATACTAAAAGGCTAAAACCAACTCCATTGCAAGCCCTCAAATTTGGGGATCTTCATCCCCAAATTTGGGGTTCATCCTCATTTTCCCTTCTTTTGCTCCAATGCTACATCCTCTATATTTGGAGATCTCCATTTTTTAAGTTTTCCATTTACTTAAAAATGTACTTATCGAAGACTTAATATAATTTGTTCATGTTAATTTTTTTATAGTTCGTCATCATTCTTAAATACAAATTTTCCGGTAATTTTTTTTTAATTTGAGACCAAATTTTTGTTGACAAAAAATGATTGACCTAATTTGGGTTTACACACAACACTTGAAAATTATTGATCTAATTAAACCCCTAACTAATCCCTTAATTAAACCCAAATTAACCTTTAAAATCTTAAAAAGAAAAAGAAACGCCACGTGGCGGGCTTTGGGGAGTCTCTATATTTGGGGGAACCCCCATTTCCACCTCCAAATTTGGGGATCCTTTTGGAGATCTCCCCCAAATATAGAGACTCCTCCATTTATAAGGCCAAGTCCAACGGGAGCCTCATAATTGGGGAATTCTCCATTTATGGCGGCTGTCTTCTTCCAACGCGGCATCAATAATGGCGATCGGCGCCATTTTTGGAGGCAATCGGCATGTGGAACGGCAAATCTGGGGACGGGAATGGCGATCGCCCCATTTATGCCGTCTGAAAAGAGCTTGTGGCGGAACAACCGCCAGCCCCGGGACGTGCGGCGCACGCGGGCGGGGGAGTCGCTCCCCCGCCCGCGTGCGCCGCACGTCCCGGGGCTGGCGGTTGTTCCGCCACAATTTTTTTTTTTGTAATTTAATTAATGTTGATTAGGTTTTAAATGATGGTTTAATTATGTAATTAATTAGGGATTTAGTTATTTTTAATTATGGCTTTAATGAATATTTTGATTTGTTTGGTTTAATAGAAGGTGTTATGATTAATTAAGGGAATGAGAATTAATGTTTATATTATTTAAGCTTCTTTAAAAAAAATTCATTTGTGTTTAATATCTTGTTTAATTTCTTTTATTTGATATGATGATTTAAATTGAATTCATTTTACTTAAAATTTATGTTTATCATCTTGAGGTTGTGTGTAAACAAAAACTAGACCGAACTAAGAATGGAAAATATATTATTGAAATAAAAATGTGTTCTTGAAATACAAAGCAAATTATCACCTACTACAACTTTAATTGAATTACAAAGGATCGATTACAAGCAACAACAATGACTAATTATTTCCATGCAAGTTCCAAATATGCTCAACCAAGTCTTGACGAAGCCCATGATGTGTTGGTGCAGAACGAAGCCTATTATTTCTAGCCAAGTACTCAGTTAGGGTTGAAATATCTCTGTTGACATTAGTTGGTTGTTGGTCATGGACCTCATAATCAAGACTATCTTCCATTTCATCGTCAGAATCAACCTGCTCATCTTCGATTATCATGTTGTGCAATATAATGCATGTCAACATTATATCATTTATTGTGGCAACATCCCAAGATCTCGCAGGGCCACGAACGATTGCCCATCTAGCTTGAAGAATTCCAAAGGCCCGCTCTACGTCTTTATGATGTGCTTCTTGACATCGAGCAAACAAGGCTTCTTTGTTTGAGCTTGGATTGCTAAATGTTTTCACTAAAGTTGACCACGAAGGATAAATACCATCAGCCAAATAATAACATTGATCATAGGTATGACCGTTTACCTCAAATCGTGCTCGTGGAGCGGATCCATTGAGGATACGGTCGAACACTGGAGACATCCACAAAACATTGATGTCGTTGTTCGACCCAGGTACGCCGAAAAAAGCATGCCATATCCAGGTGTTGTATGAAGCCACTGCCTCGAGAATGATTGTTGGTTTATGGTTGTGCCCCAGGTACTGCCCAGTCCAAGAAGTAGGACAGTTCCTCCACTCCCAGTGCATGCAATCAATTGACCCAATCATACCAGGGAATCCGCGTTGTGAGCCTTTACGAAGTAGGATCCTTAAATCAGCCCGAGTTGGTGCACGAAGGTATGTCGACGAGTACATCGCGACAATGGCTCTGCAAAACTTCCTGAAGACTTCCAGTACAGTGCTCCGACCCATACGCATGTAGTCATCAAGTTGATCAGCTGGAGAGCCATAAGCTAGCATGCGTAGTGCACTAGTAAGCTTTTGCTCCAGCGATAGGCCTAAGTGACCAACAGCATCACTCCTTCGTTCAAAGGAGGGATCGTACCTCACAACGTCACCCATTATGCGACTAAATAGTCGTGGTTGCATACGAAAACGCCTTCTGAATATGCGAGCATCGTATGTTGGATTTGGATTGAAGTAATCCTGCATAAGACGGTCATGACCTGAAACCCTTTCACGATCAATGTAAGTGCGACTTGTTGAACGACGTGAGGATGAAGCTTCATCAAGCCTCCTCCCGATTAAAGCTAAACGGTCATAGTGAAACATATTCAACTCTTCCATCTCTTCTTCTCCTCCAGACGATGAGAAGTCTGAGGAACTCATGATGAATGTGTTTGTTTTAGAAATTGGGAGAAGTTGATGAATGTGTTTGCTTCAGAAATGGGAGGAAGTTTTGGCCAAGTATTGAATTAATGACAAATGAGAGATAGCATATTTTATAGACAAACATATTCACAGGTGGCTTACCTAAATATTCCTACCTAACGGTCATATCTAACATGTGCTACCTAACAGTCTCACCTAACGGTAATATCTAACATGTGCTACCTACCACTCGTATCTAACATGTGCTACCTACCACTATCTAACATCTGCTACCTAACAGTCTCACCTAACGGTAATATCTAACATGTGCTACCTACCACTCGTATTTAACATGTGCTACCTACCATCTGCTACCTAACAGTCTCACCTAACGGTCATATCTAACGGTCGTTCAATTTTCTATATATTCAGACATCCTCTCTTCTTTCTCTACAATTCATTATTACTTTTGAAATTTGCTTCCAGTCTCACCATCCTTTCTATCATCTTTATCTCTCTAAAGATCAAACAATGACAAGCAAGAGAGGAGAGGGTTGGAAAGTGGAGGAAGATGTGAACTTGTGCAATTCTTGGGTTATGATATCAGAAGATGGAGCTGTGGGCGCTAATCAAAGACTCTCAAAGCTTTGGGATAGAGTGGCGACGCAATTTCAAGTGAATGATCCCACTACAACTCGTACTATCAAAAGCATGAGTAATCGAATGAGCCTCATCACCAAATTCTGAAAATGTTGGAATTCAGCTATCCAAAGGGCAGAGAGGAATCAACCAAGTGGCACGAATCAACAAGATGTGGTATGAATTCTCTGTCACCATCACTGTTATTTTCTAACTCATTTATTAGTATGTGTGTTCTACTTTCTAACTCCTTTTTCATCTCATTCATTGATACGTATAGGAGTATATGGCAGAACAGCTTTATAAAAGTGAGACCGGAGAAAAGGGTTGGAATTTTAGTCATTGTTGGCGGATTTTGAAAAAATGTCAAAAATTTCATGCCCTGTTAACAATGTCGTCTTCACATCAAAGCCGCATAAGTCAAGGTTCTGATGGTTCTCCCATGTGTTGTGGTTATCAATCAACCCCACCGACAGACCTCAATGACACAGAAGGAGACGAAGAAACTCCACCCTTCGTAGGAGAAACTCCACCCTTCGTCGAAGAAACTCCACCCTTCGTCATATCTCGTCCTGCTGGACGCGACAAACAGAAGGCGGCTAAGAAGAAAGGAAAGGGTGTTGCTGAGCCATCAGAGAGCTACACTGCTCAATTGCTGGACTATGGAAGTGAGTTGAAGGAGAGGCATGCTTCGAGTGCTGAGTATGAGCGAAAAAGGATGGAATTCCAAGAAAAAAAATCGAAGCGCGACGAAGAAAGGTGGAATCTTGAGAAAAGGGAGAGGGAACAAAAGTGGGAAGTTGAAAAAAGAGAGAGGGAAGCGGCACTATTTCGGAACAACGTTGATCTTCTTGAAAGGGATTTGTCGAAGTTGACACCAAGAAAGAGGCAGTATTACAAAACTCAGCAAAACATTGTTCTAGGGTATGATCAAGATGATCCCAACTCTGTTCCCAACTACTCATCCAACGCAAATCAGACCGGAGGAGGAGATGAGAGTGGAGGAGATGAGAGTGGAGGAGGAGGTTATGGGAATTACTATTCTCTGCTAGGCGATTATTGACATGTTATGTGTTTCATCTTTATCATTTCAAGTGTTGTGTGTTATCTTTAAGCTTTATCATTATCAAGTGTTGTGTGTAACCAATCAGTTGTACCATTTGAACTATTATGTGAACTCTTTCAGCTTTATCATTTTCAAGTGTTGTGTGTAAACTCTAATTAGGTCAATCATTTTTGCAAAAAAAAATTTGGTCTCGGAATTTAAAAAAATTCTATCTAAAAAATTGTATTTGAAAATGATGACGAACTATACAAATATTAATATGAACAAATTATATTAATGCTTCCATAAATACATTTTTAAGTAAATGAAAAACTGAAAAAAGGAATATCCCCATATTTGGAGAATGTAGCATTGGAACAAAAAAGAAGAAAATAGGGATGATCCCCAAATTTGGGGATGAAGGTCCCCAAATTTGGGGACTAGCATTGGACTCAGCCTAAAGGCTCCATTGGAGCCAACTTTCCCCTAAATATAGAGGCTCCCCCATTTATAGAGACTCCATTGGAGTTAGCCTAACTATTTTTCTTTGCAACAACTTGCAAAAGTAAGGGGTTAATATCCTAACTTGTCAGTGCCAAACAGGTGAACACCTATTTCTGCTTTTAGTGTCTCTCTTTGATAAATTGCTACATATTCATATCTAGCGCAGCTCCTTGAATTCCCGAGGAACAGCCTTCTAACCCAATTGCCATAAAAAAAAATCAGTTCTGAGATTGGTTATTCGACATAAATTTGATTTATCTGTAATACACCAAATTGAGGGACAAGAGATGACTGGGCTTCCTCGCCCTGGGTTTGCCATTCCTTCAATCCACAGTAAATGTCTGTTGTGTGCGTCAGTCATTGCTGCATTTTACTTTGATGTACTTGGGGAACAATCAAGTCTCGTCGTCTCCTGAAGGAATCGAGTAGGATTCAGCTATCTTGCTGGCAATGCAGTAGGCAGTGGACTGAATGGTGATCATGGGATTGACACCAATGGCACTGGGGAGCACACTTGCATCGCACACAAACAGACCTTTGGCCTCCCAGCTCTCACCGCTCTCGTCGACGCCGCCGTCCTCCGCCGTGGCGCCCATCCGGCAGCTCCCCATCTGGTGAGCAGAGAAGAAGGTCGTCCAGTTACCATCACCTGACTGCAACCCGCCGCCCACTTCAACCCCATCCAGAAACGCCTCCATAATTTCCTCCTCGCCTTCCCCGCACGAGATCTTCTCCCCGTCGCTGCGGAACGTCCCCACTTCCGCCGCCCCGGCGGCGGCCAGAATCCTCAGCGCTCGCCTCAGCCCGGTCCTCAGATTCTCCTTGTCCGCTCTGTCCAGCCGGTGGGAGATCCTTCCTTCCCGCTTCACTTCCCCTGACCCCCGGTCCCTCACCAGCGCGAACAGCAGCGCCGTTCTCGAGTACTTCGCCATTTTGTCCTTCGCGTCCCGCCCTGATGTCCACGGAGACGACGCCGCGTACGACGCCGGCCCCGCCGCCGGGCATTCGATGATGGCGACGATTTCACCGGAGGGAGAGGAGTCCGCCACTCTGTGGATTGAGGTGATGATTCCTCCTTCGTACGATTTCTCGTCTTCCAGATCCAGATCCAGATCCAGATCCAGATTTGAATTTGATGATGATGGCGGAAAGTATCCCCAAGCCATCACGACAGGGTGGAGGTGGAGGTTTTCCCCAATGTTAGGGTTCTTCAATCCGCTCGCGATCATCAGAGGCGGCGTGAGGAGCGATCCAGCTGCCGAAACCGTCACTCGAGCTTCGATCTCCAGCTTCTTCTTCCCCAATTTCGAATTCAAACATCTCGCCGTCACTCCCGAGCATCTCTTCTTATTCTTCCCTCCGCCGCCGTCGTTGGAGAAGACGAATTGCTCGGCTTTGCATCCTGAGATTATCACAGCGCCGTTGTTCTCCACGGCGTCGACGAGCCAGGTGGTGTCCGTGCCTTTCTTGTCTCCGGTTCGGCAGCCGTAGCAGCAGGATCCACAGTAGTGATCCTCCGACGAGTTTCGCGACACCGATTCGACTTTCAGGCCGAGATTCTCGCATCCCTTTCTGAGGATTTTGTTCTGGAACCCTTCCCTTTTGCACCCGTCTGTAACCCCCAGCCTCTTCCACACGGCGTCCACGGCGTTCTGGTAAATCGAGCTTCCGAAGAGGGGAAGCTTGTCGTCGGCGGACCATTCTCTGAGGACGCAATCGGGCGTCTTGATGCAGGCGGACCAGTTGACGGCGGAGCCGCCGCCGACGGTGGATCCAGCGAAGATCATGGTCTGGCCGTCGGTGGTGGCCAATTTTCCCCCGCACTCGTACAGCTCCGCCAGCGAGGGTGCTTCGAGCGAGGAGTAATCCTCTGCGGCGAAGTAGTTCCCTTTCTCCAGGACGACGACTTTCATTCCCGAGCTAGCGAGAACGGCAGCGGCGACTCCGCCGCCGCAACCGGAGCCGACGATTACGGCGTCGCATTTGATCCTGATGGTGTTGTGCTGTTCGTCTTCACTCACCTCGAGACCCTTTTGGATTAGAGACTGGACGAAAGTGGTGTCGTCGGTTTCGTGGATCGTTTCCACAATCCCTTTCTCCAGAGGTCGTCTCTCCCCTCCTTTCTGTTTGATATGGGTTGTTTTCCTGGTGTCCACTTGGTACCCAATGGCTTCCCAAGCTGGGTTCTTCTGAGTTTCATCGTCAATCTGCCGGGCGACAAACATGATTTTGGGGTTGATTGCATTGATGGGAAGAAATAAAGTAAGGAAGCGACGAGCTCAACTCTCAACTTACCCTGGAGAAGAAGACAAACAAGGAGAAGATTTTGATGGTTGCAAACACTACTCTGAGAGGTGTAAGCAGCCGCCGCATTTCTCCACTCCATTTCTGGAGAAGTTGCTCTCTCTGCTGCAGGGGAATTTCAGAGAAGTTGTGCATAAATGGCCACTTCCGGTCCAAGCAGCAAAACCCGCAGAGCAGCAGTGTTCCCAACCTGGAAGACAGCAACTTGAGTACCAGTTTCAGTACCAACACAGCCTCAGGCATCCCTCTTCTGACAATCAGGTCTGCCACCTTTCAGAAAAGAAAAAAGAAACAAACCAGACAGTACAATTATTTGATGCTGCTGAATGAGACCCAGAAGCTGCTGAATGAGAACCAGACAGTACAATCAGGTCTACCTCATCAGGGATAGGTGGGTGAGACCCAGAAGCTCCATAGAATGAAACAAGTGCTTGCTGCCTGTCAACTGGGACTTCCTGGCTCTGGTCAGGAGGTGTCAATGGAGGGATGAAGGCTTCACAGATGGCTGAAAGGGATCGGATCTGACCAGAACTGAGACCATGGCTGTAGGAAGAAGAAGTCATTATGCTCTTCCTTCCTCCTCTCAACAAGGTACGGCACTGACCTCTCTCAGTTTCCTCAACTAATTAATGAATGATCAGAATCTCTCTGCCCTGCTCTTCTTTCCCTTTCGTTGGTTTTCAAGAAGATGGTCTATCTCTCTGCCTTAAATCTACACGGAAGTCAGGAAGAAGTGGTGCAGGAAGGGATTTGATATTGCCTTATTTAAATGATTATCTGCTGTAAGAAGTTTCTGAACTCTGCCATTTGCTCATTTCTTTTAAGTCGCTGCCAAAACCTAAAAAAAACTAAAGAAAGGAAGCAAAAGGAGGTACTAGAGAGGAAGAGAGATGCAGGTTTGTCGTACCAAATTGGAAACTATATATAAACGTGCCCATAAAAAATAAATAATATAAACGTCTGTCTTATCTAATAGGATGTTGCTCTCATTCTACCAACAAAAACCAAAATAAATAAATAAAATAAATGTTGCTCTCAAAAGCTCTGTTGGTGAACTTTTCTATAGATTTTTACTAACATATTATTTGGTATAAATGAATTTCACAAATTTTGAGAAATTCATTTTGAAATGAATCATTTTTGTGTTTAGTATTTAAAAGAATTCATTTTAAATTCTAAATTTTGAATTCTATAGAATTTGAACTAGTATAGCAATTCCGAAGAATTGAGATGAAATTTCCAAATGAATTCTACAATTACTTACTAATTATAATATAATGATATAATTATCCTCTTTTATTAACTAAATTACTTATACATATGACATACCAAACATAGAAATTCATTTGACAATGAATTCTACATGACAATCATTTTATTTCCAAATATTTGAATATAACATACCAAATACAAGATTTCATTTGACAATGAATTCTATATGGTTATTCATTTTACAATAAAATAAATGATTGATTCATTTGGTACCAAACCGTCTGTAAAAGAATGGTGGTTAGCTTTCTGATAGTAAGAAAATAGATTGGGTGCCTGAAAAGGAAAAAAGATTGGGATAATTGTTTTCGGCCGATGTGGCAATCTGTGATGACTCACTAATGTTTGAACGAGTTAATCATTAGTTTTGATTGTCAATTCAACAAAACGAGTTAAAGTTGTCTATGACTATTATTATGAAAGATGGAGCAATCATTATTGAAAGTTGGAACCAAATATCAAATTTACTTAATTGGACAAAGTTTGTGCCACGTTGCAGTATTAATCTAATCCAACTTCTATTCATGATCTTGGGATGGTTATTAAAATGTAATGATTGCATTGGTCCTAAAACGTTTATTTGGGTAGAACTTCCTCTGTTGGCTAAGTCTCAATTCCCAGCTATTAAGCCATTTCTTATATAAAACCTACACTTATGTGCTTACTATTTATTAAGGGATTATTTAGTAAATTCTTATATAAAAGTCACACTTCTGTTCTTATTATTCATTAAGTGATTTTTTCGTAATTTCTTATATAAAAATCACTTATGTATTTATTATTCATTAAACGGTTATTTCGTAAATAACCCCAACTCAAAAAGTATTCTTGATGGAGGACACAAGGCAAGAATTAGGGGATTAGTTTATGCATTTTTTTAAATTCTCTTTTTCTTTGCTTTTTTTTAATTTTTAATTTTCTTATGTGTTATTCTTATATTCAATATGAGTTACTATTCGTTAAGTTTATTTTTGGTAGTTCTACAGAACTTGAGAGGTCCATCCTTAAATAGGCAACATATGAAAATCTTTTAGTGGCATTTTTGTTGTTGTCTTGAAATCAACATCTTTATTCTTATTTGATTTTGTATCCTTACCCATTTCTTTCTCACTCGAACTCAAATAGAAAGACCATGGAAAAATCTCATTCTCATCGAACATGATGAAAGTGACTTCAAAACCGAGGAAACCATATACTACGTTATTTAGTCTTTTTCTTCTTTGTTCTTTTTCATATAAGGTGCAGAAACTTCATAAATTATCTAACAAATCTAGCTCCAAATATGCAAATATTCTCCCTTTGAACCATAGCCGCATTGGACAACGAGTGCAAATGGCTATAAAACTCTCCCACAACAAGTTTATGATTTTTCTTGCATCTTTTCAGTTATATCTTATGAATCACATTTTGTTAATCCTTTCATATAACAAATGTGTATTGCTTTACAGGTTTTTCTATTAAAAAATTGCAGGGTTCTTTCACTCACCGTGAAGCGTAAGCGAGCGGGCCATCCCTAATAATTGTTATTTACAGGGGTAAAATACCTCGGGTACCACTAAAGTATGAGAATTGGTGGAACTATACCACTTAATTAAGAATAGGGCATCGCGTAACATTGAACTCTATTATATGTGCACCCGGTACCACTAAAATTTATTGTTAAGTGCATTTAGTTAAAGTTGACAGATAGGGCATCGCGTACCATTGAACTCTATTATATGTGCACCAGGTACCACTTAAGTTTATTGTTAATTGCATTCAGTTAAAGTTGACAAATATAGTTGGAATATTCTGTTTTCTAAATTTCATAATTGGTCTTTCTACTTTTCTCATTGTAAACAATCATTTGAAATTATGAAAACATCATTTTTTACTGTTTAGTTGGGATCTTGTTTTGAAGATTTGATACCAAACCAATTTTTGAATAGAAAATTTAGAATAAATTATCATTATAAGTATTTTCAATTATCATTATGTGTTCTAATAATTAAATTATTTCCTGAAGCAAATATATCCTATGAATTCTGTTTAGTTGGAATCTTCTTTTGAAAACTCTAATACCAAACTAATTTTTTAATAGAAAATTTAGAATCAATTATTATTATAAGTATTTTCAATTATCATTATGTGTTCTAATAATTGAATAATTCACTAAAGCAAATATATCCTAATAATTCTCTGGAATATGTTTAATTCTTTCTGATTGTGTTCCATTTATTCTTCTTTGGTCTTGATGTATTGATGATCGATTATGTTCTATTTTAACTATTTTTAATAGTGCTTCTAATTGAATTAAGAGTTTAAATAGATATTCTAATATTGATTTTAAATATATATTATTCTTCTTGATATTCATTTATTATTTTACTAAAATATTTGTTTTATTGAGAGAAAAAATTGCTTAGTCATTTTAGTAATACTATGTTTAGAAGGTTTTTAATATTTATATTAGATAAAACTTTTTGAATTATAGTTTTGTATGTTTTAAAAAGTTTTGGGTACCAAAAAGTAATTTAAAGTTTGGGTTGGATGGAAAACTAAACGGATGTATATTTTGGTAACTTTAATATTACGCGACGCCCTATTCAAACTTAACTAGTATTTCTATCCCAATTTTCAAACTTAAGTGGTACCCGAGATATTTTATCCTTATTTATAGAATAATGGACTTAAAAGTTCGACATCAAGTATATGTGATATAACAATTTATAATTTACAAATGAAAATAAATATAAAATATATTAATCTCGCTTCTTAAAATACATATATATGATATATTAGTGTCAACGTAAGATCAAAAGAAGGATAATCACACAAGGAACACCGATTTACGTGGTATCCTCAACGAGTATCGTTGAGACTAATCCACGAAGAGGAGCAGCCTCTCAAAGTCAATTGTATATCACCGAGAATCCTTAGGTTACAAGAGTGGTCGGCCGCTCCTATTTAATTAGCAGACCCGTAAACCCTATCTCCCAATCCTACACAAATATGGATTGATGGTTAAATTACAATTGACCCCCAACACTTCTAACAGTTAGATGTGTTAAACATTTTGCAAAAACGAGAAAGACGATTCTACGAAATTACTGAAAAATAAATATATTTAATGCATATACGAGGATTGTACAAATATCGAACAATATACATGTATTTTTTTGATAATATCCGGAACAAAATTTTGACTAAAACAAATTTCCCATAATCCAAAAAGTAGGAACGACCAACTTCTTTTTAATGAACGAAACGACCAACTTTTTCCTCGTTTTTATTGTTGCTTAATGCTTTGTTCTTTTAGTATTCTTTGCTTCTTCTCTTTTCTATGGTTGTGTATACGTATGTATAGTATCTCGCTTATTCTATAGCTTCGTGACTTCAAGCTAAGAAAGTTAATTGCTCTCACCAACAAACCAAATGCCTGGTGGCGGGTACAAGAAATTATGTGTGTCGGAGTTACAAAATGGACCGAACCATTAGCTTGGAATTTTGCTTCAAACTTCTCGTTTCAGTCCTGTTGTTGTGTGTTCACTAATTGACTTCTACAAAGAGAATTTTTTGTACCTATAGTTTCTCACCAAATGTAGAGATGGCAGACGGGTGGAGCAGGGCGAGTATCTTAATTACTATATTTGTTCCACACCAAGCGCGCGGGTCGGGATGGCGAGTGGGGCGGGTCGACCCATTCTTACATATTTTTTTTGAAAAAAATACATACAAAATTTAATTTTTACGATAAAGTGAAGGGAAAACATTTTACGAATGAAAACCAGTGATAATAGAATGTGTATTTAAGTGTATCTAGTTGAATGATAAAGTATAACTAGTTGGAAAAAAAACAAAATAGGAGAAATATAAATAGATATTGTAAGAAATTGAGATAAAAATGAATCAAGAGTTAGATGGGGCAGGGCAGAGCTAATCGAAAGTAGATACTCATATCCCATACCACGCTAATGCGGGCCGGTTTCAAATTGTCGTCCCTAAACAAATGACATTTCTTATCCAATTAATAAATGTTTGATTGGTTTAGCTCAATCGGTTGTTTGTCGGGGCTGGGTCTATCTATTTAAGGAATTCATGTTTGCACAAAATGCTTTGGAATGGAGGAGAAACATAGACAGAGCCAGCCCAAAATTCTTTAAGTGAATTTCAGAACACCCCTAAAATTTGAAAATAACGGTCATCTGATAGTAGTTTGAGTTTGGGACAGGGATGGACCAATGATCTTCTAGAGGCGCATTGAGACACCTCTAAAATTTGTGAATCTCTTATTAGTAGTTTAAATTTGTGCTGTAAAACTCAGCGATATGATATTTTATGCTGAAATTGTACTTTAACTATGGTTCAACCATTTCATACCGCTAAAAACTTGTCTACCGTCTTGAAAACACTTGCAACACATATTCGGATGGGTTTAACGCAGATACTAGAATACCAAAACCGAACTAAATCCATTATTCTCCGTAGAAAACCCAGCATAAATATTATGAGTTGAATTTTCCCCACCCAAATGAATTTGGACTCAATTGGATACCACGATGAATTAGTTTTTCATCCCTAATCAATAATCATAGCCTTACTCTAGCTACCAGTTTCCCTCGTGACTGCATTACTTGTCTTGTCAATGCGTATTCCACCAATTTTGACAGGAAAAATGGCATCCTCTGGAGAGCAATCGAATCGAAGTGGCATGAACATAATAGATAGGAATCCTGTTTACGCTAGTTTCAATTACAGTAAAATGTCTTTAGAAGGATGTGAACGCTAGAATATAGGCAGCCAATTAAGAAATTCCATATGAATTCGTTCTCGAGTTCTCCATGTCAAACCAACTCAACCAAATCATATACTTGCACCAATACTTAACTTATTTTCTCAAATATAAAGAGGCTTCTAGCTCAAGTCACTTGAGCTATGAAATTTATCAACAATGTGATGACTTGACATTCTATCTGGCTCATTCCAGTACATCTGCAAGCTGTTCTCTCTTTTCCGAACTACCCGAAGGGGCGTCTGGAATCGGTCATCTGCTACCGTGGCTTACGAAAACCAGAGGCAATCTCAGAGCATCTGAACCCAAATGGTTCACTACACAAAAGAGACTGCTCTCGTGACTACAGAAGGGGTGCAGCTAAATCTTCTTCCTTATTCCTCAAGCATATCTTTAGAAGGCGGAGCTGGTGCCGCAGATGCAAAACCTGCAACTCAATAGCTGAATATGAGAACAGAACGAAAGAAGGGAAAGGATAAATCGGACACAAGTCATGTAACGATTCCAAAAGATGTCAGCCATTCATTAAAGTATGCATTTAACTCAGCAAGGATCAATTGCACTCCTCCGAAAAGATATATGCCAGTGTTTTAATTCTTTAACCAGATTAATATGTAGGAACACACTTCTTCATGGAAGGGATAGGAACCAACTTGATTCTAGGTGAATAAAATCACGACAACCGCAGCCACATGAGTAAATGGAAGGAAGGCGGCAACATCAAACAGCGTTACAAGAGGACAGAACAAATTGGTTACCTCTTCTTGGAGCAAAACAGGGAGACTTTCGATGGAGACAAGAGTAAACACTTGTTTGAGAAGTTCCTCGTCTTTGATACCAGACCATGTTTCAGGAGGCAGTGCCAATAACAGTGCTGTTAGAACATCTTTGCTAGCTGGGTAAATCTGGCTACTAGGGCCACATTTGCAGGAATTCTGTTCCTTTTCAGATGAAGGAACCAGGACTTCAAGTCCCTGCTGACTTCCACCGTTGACTACTGTTCCAGAGACTACAGTGATGGGTTTTCCATCATGTTCTTTCAAGCATCTTACGCATGTTTCCATGCAACAGCCTCCTTTGAAAGACTTCCCAACCAAAATTTCGGCGCCTTGGCAGCAGAGCTTTGCCGCAATATCAGAGAGATCATCATCACCATTACCCTTAGTGGGCACGTTTCTACAACTAGACGTTGCAGAAGACAAAAGTGTGACAACATGTTTGAAAAGGCCAGTGTCTCTCACTTGTTGTAGTACCTCCTCCTGTAAAAAGTATCCAACAAAACAATCAGTTACTTGCATTTTGAACCCACAGTTAAAAATGACAAAAACAATCAATAATTAGTAGAGGTTTTGTTTTTGTAAAATACCTTCATGGCTAGTCGTCCTTTCTCCTCTTGGCTTATGTTTTCACCACCATCCTCTTGTCTTCTAACTTCAGCAATCCACTTGATGAAATCACCAAAATGTGATGGCAAGGACATAAAAACGACTTGAAGTACTTTGTCAATATCTTTCACGTCTTCTGACTTCAAGAGCACAGGAACTTCATCAATTAGATACTTGGCGAAGCCAGTCCAACTCTCTTGCTTACAGCTCTGTGAAATAAGAAAAAGTACGAGAGATGATACAAGAGCACCAGCAATTAAAACATCGTGAGATTTCATTGGCAACATATTAACGTGAAAAATAGTGTTGTCAACTATATTTCTTTAGGAGAATAGTGATTCTAGTTACCAATAACTAATGAGGAAGTGGTGCCAACTGTAAACTTACAAGGGTATAAAGCAGTCCTGGCTCTGTATGCGGCCGTGATAAGAGTATGAAACTGTCGAATCCAAAAGTTACATAAGCAAAAAAAAAAACAAACAAAAACAAACAAACAAACAAGGAGAGGGAGGAGGGGACGTTCAACACAAGTGATGGGCCTGTAGCTGACCATTCGATCTGCTCTATCTTGCGGTCTTCAGAGAGACGCAGAGCAGTGGACATAACTGAACTGAGCAGCTTTAAAATATCTAACCATGCAGGCTATTAAGATGCTACCAGCTAGCCTAGCGTGTGTGTGATACAGAACCAATATTCTTGCAGTTATAGGTGAACCACATCAATTGTAATGCACTAAGATTGAGACAAAACATATCACAAGAAAATGTGACATGAAGGTATACCAATGGAAAAGGCCATTCTGCGCTCAGTTTTCACTTGCAAAGCAAAATACCATGGTAGAAACCAACAACCAAGCGGAACCTTGAAAAGGGCTCCAAATTGGGCTTGAAAAAGGGGATTGGTGTAAAACATGTTAGACTCAACAAAGTTTGATCAAGGGATATAGTGATAAGGGTGGTCATTTTAATGCAAATGAACCTTTTATGCACCCTTACTAGACTTTCCAGTATGTAACATCAGAGGCTCAAGCTATATAGACAGAAATAAGACCCTACCCTCTATGATGTCCAGTTGTCACGTCAATTGCATCCATGGCTTCCCAAAGAAGACTTAGTGGAACCCAGTGTGGAGGATACTTAAATCGCGCCACGTCCAAAATCAAAGCCATGTCCCTTCCAGCATGATACCCACCAATAGGTGAAAAATGACCAGTCCCTGTCTGAAATTATGGGGTCAAGACAAAGAAATAAACAAGCTCTGTTAAGCATGATAGGCCGGTTTCATGCCTAGGTCTGAAATCCAGTAATATAGAAAATTGTTATCTATATTTATCTGAATAATCTTGCAAGCCAAGCTTTCTGATATTATTTTTTTCTTCGCACAAACAGAGAAAAGCTGAAGTGTAATTTCTGTAACTGTCAAGAACAAGGATATGATTTCTACAGAACAACTGACCAAGTGATCTGAAATTATAGTTTCATCACATTAGATTGAAAAGCACCAAATCTGTCATTGGATAAGAACAAAAGATCCAAGGTAAAAGTTCAATTGTTTTAGTAATGTATCTCCCTAAAAAGAAATGTTTTTAGCAAAATATTCAAGCACTATAACACTGGCAGGACTCAGATCACTACTAATGATGAAAAGTCGCTAAGAGAGGGATCATTAGCTAAAGAGAAATACCTGTTTAAAAACCCCTCTATGATATGATGAAATCACATGGCAATTATCAGAAGTGGAACATCTAATGACATGTTTACGAAAGTCATCAATGGTGCTTTGTCTGGTCGGAAAGCTTCGACTTTTGCACCAGCACATCGTCCAAACAAACAACTTTTCCAAATGAAATTCCGTCAGCTTTAACCTTTTCCAAAGGCTCACAACAATCCAGCATGGATTCGTCAAACCACCTCCATGGTCCTGCATTGAGGACAAGACCGTTCTCAATGTTTCCTATTTTATCTCTTTTCAAAATGGTAGAATACGTGAATAAATGTTGAACACAGGAAGAAAAAACGCCCTGCTCTATTGCAGCTGTATTTAAGAAACAGGTTAAGTAATGATACAATTCAACCCTAAACATTTCCAAAGACATAGTATATGGTTTACTAAAGCCTTACACGTATACAGCTTGACACGGCAAAAGGAGTCGCCTAATTTCACACATAATTACCAGTAATGACAACCTGTTATGTCCACATCACACCTCTACCTTAACCAAGACTCTAGCCTGAGGCAATGCATACTTGAGATTGAGAACACAGCCAGACTGAACTGCAGTAAACGACCAAATACCATTACCTTTCCATTTCCTCCCAGGGTCAATTGCAAGTGCATTCAAGACCATAGAAAGGCTCGCCAGACCACAATATGCAGGCTCAGACTGCGTCTGGAAGTAGGATATCAACTTATAGAAACCTTCCATGGTTCCATTCTGAACCGCTTCAAGAAAAATTTGCTGCAACTCCACAGAGCAAACAATTTCAGATCATTGCATCGAAAACCACAAGCTGGTAAAAGTAGCCAGCCATATATCCTCAATGCCATTAACACCGAACTTCGTCACTAGGCATGACTCTCGCCGTTGCAGACTAGACCATCAAAATCTGCCTCAAGACAGATGACAAAACCCTAATTTCTCGAATTGAAACGTGATCGTAGGATACATGACCAAAAAAAAGGGAATCTTAGCTTCAGATGAAGTGAATTGCAGAGGATTAAGTTTACCTTTCCTTCCGAAGAAGCGAAATCGATCGCAGGAGGGGAAGGGAGGACCCGGCGGTACAGTCCGGCCATTGCCATAGTTCTTAGCTCCCCGGAGAATCCGTAATTGACAGCGGAGCGTTTGGAGGTGCAAGGAAAGGAGAGGGAAAGCGAGCGAGCGAGAAGTGCTGGTGGGTTAGGGTGGGGGAGATTCGAGTTTTTGGTTTTTATGTGGCGGGTGAGCTAAGAAGAAATCGGAGACGAAGTCCAGCTGAAAGCAGGTGGACTTTTTTAAAACCGGAAGTGTAAGAAGATTCGCGGTTTCCAAGACGGCGGTAGTCATCCGCGTTTGAAATCAGCCGTTTGAGGGAAGAGGAGGAGGCACTTCAAGATAGGGTTGGGAATTCAGTTACGGTTGTGCGGTTAAACCGCAAACCGCACCGAAACCGCGTGGTTAATGGTTAACCGCAAACCGCAAAAACAACCTTTTATGCGATCGTGGTTGGGAAGAATGAGTCTTTTGCGGTTTGCGGTTTAACCGTAACCGAAACCGCAGATGCACATAACCGCACTACTAACCGCAGGCCAGCCCACCACTTCATTTTCCAAACCAGTCCATCCAACAAATCCCACCCTAGGCCCACTAGCCCACTGTCGACCCACCCCCTTCCACCACAGTTCTTGTTTCCCCAGCCCTCAGCGTGCGAATTCTTTCTTCAGCCACTTTCCCAAATCGAAAAGAAAGGAAACCCTAGTTCCATGCAACCGCGATGACGTGACCTGGGATTCACAGCCAGTGCAACTGCGACGCCGCGACCATTCCAGAGCAGAACCCACACTCGTCGTCCGGAAATTCCTCCGCCACCGTCCCTTCTTGTCGAGAACCCGCCTTCGTCGCCGTCCCTGCTTGATCAGAGGCGTAGAGCACGTCGCTGTCCTCTCCACATCTGCTCTGCTCGTCGACATCGACGGCGCGACCATTCCAGCGGTTAACTCGGTTAGTGATGCCATTAACCGCGGTGCACCGTTAACCGCATTTTGCGGTTAGCAGTTAACCGCTAACCGTAGCAGGTGCAGTTGCGGTTGGCTAATATGGGCACTTTGCGGTTGCAGTTAACCGCAAATTGCGGTGCAGTTAACCGCAACCGCACCGTTTCCCACCCCTACTTCAAGACCATAATAATGAGCTCCAGGAAGAGGTTGTTGAACTAATGGTCGAAAGGTTACACCTGAAGCCTGATATTTGCTCAGATGTGCTCTATATGCATAGAAAGGAGGAGTTACATGAAATTAAAGCAAGGTTTAGTGTTCTAGAGTTCAAGGTGTCTAGTTAATGTAAGCTGGTCAAGAATGAAATTGTTTTGGGAGATTTTCTGTAAGGGGTGTTATGTAAGGGTTGAGTTGTAAGTGGTGGGTTGTAAGCTGGTGAATAATAAATTTGTTAATGTAAGATTGTCATTACTACCTTCAACAATTTCGTCGACTCTAATGCACTAATTGAACTCCCTCTTACTGGCAGTTATTACCCCTAGAGCCATGGAGTCGGTAGTAATTCCCAATCCCGGATCGATTGAGCTTTTATCACTGGCGGATTTGACTCCATGTTTCCATATTGCGTCTTATCTGCATTGGAGAAAATTGACTCTGATCACTATCCCCTTAATCTCAAATGGGGCGGCAATGGGAATATCAAAAAGCCCTTGGAAGTTCGAAAATATGTGGCTTGAAGACGAGCGTTTTTACAACAGTCTTTCCATCTGGCTCCTTTCTTCATTACAAGGGTCTGGACATATCTTTCTCTGGTCGAAGAGATTGCAGTCTCTTAAGCAACATATTAAGTATTGGAACAAACATGTCTTTGGAAATATTCATGATAGGGTTGATGAGCTGCTGAGGTCGATCAAGGAGCTTGACATCATTGGCGAAAACAAAACTCTTACTGAAGAAGAAAAGAACAACATAATCATGATGGAACTTGATCTTGTCAAAGTAATTGATATGCAAGAGATAAGCTGGAGGCAGAAGTCTAGGGAACTATGGCTTAAGCTTGGCGACAAAAACTCCAACTATTTTCACAAGGTAGCCAACTATAAGAAGAAGATAAATTTCGTCAACTGAATCAGTATTAATGGCCAGTTATATGAAGGCATAATCAAATTATCTCAAGGAATCGTGAACTATTATCTCAACTTCTACAAAGAAGAATTCTGGTGGCGTCCTTTTCCTGGCAGGTATGCTGGTCCTCATTTAAATGATGTTGATCGATCCTCCTTATGCACACCGTTTATTGAGAAAGAGATATGGGATGCTATAATTGACTGGTGGGAGCAAGGCTCTAGGGCCATATGGATTTTCTTTCGAATTCTATCATAGATGTTGGGATTGGATAAAAAGGGGCATCTTTCTTGCGTTCAGTGAGTTTCACGGCTCTGGTCTCCTTCCAAAATCCCTTTCCCACTCCTTCGTATGTCTAGCGCCTAAGAAAGACTCAGTGGAAAACATCAAAGACCTCAGACCAATTTCTCTCTTGAGCAGCTTTAATAAACTTGTCAGTAAAGTACTATCTAGAAGACTTGCTCCTCTTCTCCGCGGCTTGTCTCTGATCAACAACAAGGTTCAATCATTTGAAGGCACATATCCAATGCAGGGCTCATTGCTAACGAGCTCGTCGATAGCAGAAGAAAAGTAGAAAACCGGTCTCAATTTTAAGTTGGACATCAAAAAGGCGTTTGACAACGTCAACTGGAATTGCTTATTTAAGGTTATGTCGAAGGGGATTCCCATCTCAATGGTTGAATTGGATCAAGGGTACCATGTGTTCCCCAATGTTTCTATTCTGATTAATGGTGAGGCGAAAGGCTTCTTCCCTGCGGAAAAGGGTCTCAGTCAAGGCGACCCTCTATCGTTGGGTCTATTTACCCTCATCATGGATATCCTCTCATTCATGATATCTAGACTGAGCTCCGAAGGGCTGATCAAAGGCTTTCATATGAATGAAGAGAATGGTAGTAGTGAAGTTACACACTTATTGTTCGCTGACGACACTCTTCTTTTCTGTGATGTCTCACACGAACAAGTGCTCAATCTATTGGCTACGCTGGTTTGCTTTCAGACCATTACAGGGGTCAAGATCCACCTCGAAAAATCTATCATGATCACTATTGGCGATGTACCCCGAGCCTAGATACTATGCTGATCTCTTTGGTTGTAAGTGGACTAACGAGCTGCCGTTTTACCTTAGGTTTCCCCTTGGCGGAAAACCTACCAATACAGCTTTTTGGTCTCCTATGGTTGAAAGATACCACAAAAGACTAGACGGGTGGAAGACTAAATACCTTTCGACGGGAGGCAAGCTTACCCTTAACAAAGTCGTCTTGTCCAGTTTATCCGTACGCTACTTCTCCATATTCAAAGCACCTAAATCTACAACAAACAAGATGGAAAGCACTATGTGGAAGTTCATGTGGTCTGGTGCTGGAGACGCTCAAAAGCCTCCTTTGGTTAAATGGGATGTTTGCAAGGCCTCCAAGACCAATGGAGGGCTGGGTCTTTTCGACTTGGAGAGTTTCAATAAAGCACTTCTTTCTAAATGGCTATGGAAGTATATAATAGAGAAAACTAGTTGGTGGCGTCATCTTATTGAGCTGAAGTACAAGAGCAGGCGCTCTTCATGGATCGCTGGTCCGATCATTATCGGTTACGAAAGTTCTTCTTGGGCCAGCATATCAAGAGAGTATAAATCTTTCTGGAACTATGTTTACAACGATCCGGGAAGTGGAGCTAATGCATCCTTCTGGTTTGATTGCCGGTCACCTGGGCGCATCCTTGCTGACGATTTCCCCGTGTTGTCGCCGCAGCCACCGCCCCTGATGCCCAAATCGCTGACATCTACACTCATTCTGGTGATTCTTTTCGGTGGAAAATTGACACTAAATTCAATTTGAGCGGTGGGACTGAGAGAGAGAGGCAGAATCTTTTGCATTTCATCAATTCCTTTGAATTTTATAATGTTGGTGCAAGTCCGTGCATACCCATCTGGGCTCCCAACCCAGACTCGTCCTTTTGTGATTCTTCCATGTACAGATATGTATTACTGCAGATTTTTTTTCCGGGAGTACCGGTATCGCATTAGAGGATTTCAACATCCCTATAGTGGTTCACCTTCTTCAATCGAGTGCTTTCATTCTATTGAATTAATGGTTAGATTGCGTTTGGTTTTGTTTTCCATCATCTTGTTTTTGTTGCATTAGATTTAGAAGCCCGATATCGATAGGTTCATCCTCCCTGTCGTGGTCCACTTATGGGATATGATCATATCAAATTGAGCCTCAGAGTTGCCTTCAATTCCATCAAACCATGTGCTTAGTGTCTCAAATTGTTGCAAATGTCCATATAACCAAGCATTTAGTTCTTGAAGTTGATTCGAATGAAGTCAATGTTGATTACTTGCCTCCGTCATTTTTTTTTTCAATGGCACTCATGTTACACGAAATCCTTCCAACTACATTTCTATGGTGGTGGTACAATTTTGCAAAATAATCCTCATCATCGCCATTGTGTTAAGGCTAGACTCTGATACCAAGTTGCAATGCCCCAACTCAATGGATTGATGATGGCAACTCGTAACCCACAAGTCAAGGATTTTGCTTGCAACTCACAAACGAGAGAACGACGTAGAGTATCGAAAGAATGTTAGGTTTATTATTTCGATAAAATGGACTAACACCGAACTTACATATATATAATACATGAACCCTGCTTATTCCCCAAGCCTCTCGACCAACACCACCCTAATCCCTAACCGACTCGGCAACCTAACTTTAGACTCCTAATAGACTAAGGACTGAAGGCCCATGCACATCCGATTAGCTATGTAACTCAAGTCTAACTCTTCAAACTCAAACCCATAAGCATAACTAATTAAATAAATAAACACACTATTCGTACTAACCCAAAAGCCCACATGAGCACTTCGACCAGCCCAACTGCCTTCCCCCAATCGTGCTCCATCATTCCTTACCCCTTTGAATTCAACCTTGTCCATACGGTTGATGATCGACATCCTCCTCCTCGAACAAGCACATTACCTTTGTTGTGTCGCACTTGTGCCCAACGGTGAACCTTTCCTCCCAGTTGAAATGCAATTCTTGAGCCTGCTACAGTTGTTGTTCTTCCAGCTCAAGCGTTCCCCCCCCCCCCCGGTTAGGCCCTCGAAGATTACCCACACCGGCCTGCGGTGCCAAGCTTGCAGTTCTTGACTCGTTGGTCCCTCCCCCGTAGCTTCTAGTCACAGATGAAGATGGCGATGTGGCTCGACTTGGTTGCGATTTGTGGCGTTGCAGTTGATCATTCTTCATGCCCAC